CTCACTAATTCCCTGTGGCTGAAAAAAATGGACAATTACAAAAATACCATTTTTTGTGTGCACAAGAATGCCACTTAAGGGTGTCTATTTACAAAAATACCACTAATTATAGATTTATAAAGTCTATCTTAAAATTCTAAACCATAAAAAATGTTTTGACACATAAAACCCCCTAAACACTCAAAAATAAATCCTAATAGAACATAATTAACACAAACATAAATAATATAACGAAAAAATAATTTTGAAAAAGTGGCATTTTTATAAAAATTTTAAAAGTGTGACATTTTTATAAAGTGACACTTGAAAAGTGGCATTTAAAAATTGGCATTTTTGAAATTTCTCAAAAAAAAGAGGTATTTATTGGAAATGTTGTTATTAATAGATCCATATATTTATTCACATAGTAATTGTGTTTAATTAATATATTTCATAAAGATCAGATCTTATACATAAATACAACAAGAATAACTGTTGAATGCTAGTCTTTCAAATGTAAGAAATATATCTCCTTAGTTTGTTCTTTTGTTTTTCATGGTTGTCGTCCATATTACTCTGCAAGAAGAACTAATAATTAGCAAACATTAAAATCACAAAATTATTGTAATAAGTAGTTGAAGTTTAGCACCTTTCGACAATATTGGGAGTTTCTTTGTATGAACAAAATGTCATTCCAAGATCTTTGAATACTAGTTTGTATTGACAACGTCTTTGGCAGCGATTGCAGATGGGACGAATGAGATGATTGTTTGGAACAATATCAACCTTTGATCCAACATAATCGGATACTTGTGCTGACTTCATATTGGGATCTTTACCTACTATGCATTGAATATGAAATGTGGTTCCACATTCACCGCATTCATAATATCATTTTTTTGGATCCATATTTTCCTCGCAAACTTCGCACCAATATGGGCAAATTGCATTTCTTACATAAGCTAGGGTTATCCAATGTTCATCAACCTCGTGTTGAACCTTGTATAGTAGAGTGGCACAACGAAAACACAAAAGTAAATACACATTCTACGCAGTTTAAAAGTATAGAGTATAATGCTCCACATATCGAACAAATTTTGCCAAAGACTATTCTGGTATATAGTAGGAACAAAGGATGTGGATGAGATTTATGATGGAACGGTACAGATAGAGAGGCACACCTTACGTCCAAAGTGTTATTGCACCCTTCAAAACAATTATATCTGAAACCCGACAAGAGACGACCACAATATTTACAAGAGAAATAACTTCCGATATCACCTGATTGTAGAATAAACAGGTGGGCATGCAACATGTTTTGTTTTATGCGAGGAAGATTTGTGCATGCTTCATGTAAAATAAAATCACATTGTATACATCTATAAATACTACCATCATAAAGAGGAAACAAGCACGCCTCATATTGCTTGTTTTCATAATACGCTTTGTCGATATGTTCATCAAATCTCATGTTGTGATGCGGATGACTAAAATGTTGTATAATTACATCGCCTATCTCTTTCCACGATATAATATTATCGTATACCTTTTCTGGTTGGTCTTCCAATTCTTTACCATCTCATACATCACGTCGCGTTGCACATTTACAATCCATTGTATAAGCACAATCCTTTGAGCAAGAGTATTCTCCATAGATTCCATCAATCTTCTTATGGCAAACTCCGCATGACCATATTCC